TTGGATAACGTCGAAAGGGGGCATCCGATTTGTGTGAGGCATGTTGCGGCAATTGGCCGAGCAATATTGAAAACTGCACACATTATAATGGGCTTTCAAACGGTCGTACACACAACGCATGCAGTAAAAGCATTTTTAGACTCTAAAGCAGTGGTCCCCAACCTTTTTATCACTGCGGACCGGTCAACGCTTGACAATTTTACTGCGGCCCGGGGGCGGTACGTAGATTGTTTATATTGTAAATATAATAATAAATGTAAATTCACTATGTACTTGTATGCAACTTTATTAGCAGCTTCCTCGTAACATTGCGCCAACAACATAACATGAGTATAACATCAAAGTCTCAGTTTTCAGCGCTGTGGTTTGCGATCTCAGGGTATTCTGTCATTACTTTAATCCAGAACACCGACAGAGTTGTTGTCTCGAACATACTTTTAAGGCCGCCGTCATTTGCGATCTCCAGCAGTTGATCTTCTTCTTGCACAGACGTGCTGGATTCACCTGGTTTGTTGACAAATGGGTTGCGGATCCATTCCTTGGCAGTTCGTGGGTCCATTGTGGTTGGGAAGTAGCGCTCGAACTCTTTTAAAAGCAAAGACAGGTGATCGTGCACCAGCTGGGAGAATGAAGGCTCAGGCTCAGTCTCGGGGGTTGGGGACCACTGCTCTACACTGCCATTCACTAGACATGTATATAAATAATTTTCATTGCCAGTGTTGGAGCCCATTCATAATATTTACTATCAAGTCAAATTTTATTTGTATAGCGCCAAATCACAACAAAAGTCATCTCAGGACACTTTACAAAGTATGACTTGTATGGACAATTTGCCAATATTATCAGTATCAAATATCTAAATCCCCTTCACAGGATTAAGACTATACTGTTTCATCCAACACAGCTGAAACCATCTTACTTCAACCAATAAGAATTTATTTCATAGAACAGTTTCCCAGAGCAAATCAATATAAATTTAACAGACCTACATTATAAATTAAACAGCTCAGTAAATGTTGCAGGTTAGGTGAAATCACGTGGAGTTTCACTGTAAACAGATACAAAACTAAAATGAATGATTGAAGAAGAAATAGCTTTTGCAACACAATCTAACACTACACCTTTACTTGACCAAATGAAGCTGTAGACTGATACAATTGTGTTGCCCCCTGGAGATGTGAAGCAGAGTAGGCCCAAGTGGAGCAATGCTAATAATATTAGTGTCATGAATGGTGTTTAAAAAAAGTCATAGCTGTTGAATATATTTTGGACCAAATCAGGACAGCTGGTAAAGCTTTGCCCCATCTCAGCTGTAATGGAAAGTCTGGCTGTGTGGCACAGGTGGAAAATCAGCAATATATAACCTCTGTAAATATTTGAATCCTTTACTGTATGTGCAAAGTCCATCTTCTTCACAACACCATCCCTCCGCCCATGATCTCCATTCTCTGTTGGGAAGACAAAATCCCAAATTGGTGTTATAAAGTTATCTGACAAATATTTATTTTTCCAGTTTAACAAACCAGTCAAAAAAACAAGCAATTATTTAAAAAAACTCACCATTATAGTGCTTCTTTAAAATTACTGCTGTTAAAAACAGTTAGTCATTTAATTACAAAGGCATAGTCCGCCCTCTAATGGCCTAAAGGTGTACAGCACATGAGACATTGCCTGGATTTATGAGGCCTCAAAGACTAGAAATGAGTCAACCCCCCCAGAATTGTCAGGTTTAATTCATGTGGAGGTGCCAGATCATAATGAACAAAGTAGATTTTAGGGCCCAGCACTAACATGAGACAAATGCATACAACTATGACCTCAACATTCATCATTAACCATAAAAATATATATAAAAAAGCTACAAACTATTTGCTATTATATTTATCATAGTTTTTACCTGAGGTGGATCTATGAAAGCCAGCCAGTCCGACGAGTGTGTCGGGAGCAGTCCCATCGACTGACACTTGTAGATGGCTAAGGCCAAACCCAGGAGGTTACCGATCAGGTAGACGAGGCCCTGGAGCCACTGCTGACTGGAGCTCTCGAGCAGTTTGAAGGCTGAGGCACAAGATGACAAAGGAGTGAATGCACAAAAAAAGACCTGGTGTGAGATGTTTGTCTTACCGTCTTCAACAGTTTCCAATCACTTTCCATTACAATTTTGTTGTCTGAATACTCACTAGCAGACATGGACATGAGTGCCTGGATGGGCCTCCAGGCCATCATGCAGACCATCATGATGGGGAAGATGGAGATGGTGTTGCCTGACATGTACATGATGAACAGGTTCATGGGGATTTGTTTCAGAGGCCCAAGGGCCACGTCCCAGCAACGCTGTATGACACAAAAAGAGAAAGACACAGGATGATACTCAGCTAATAAGTGTGCTTCTCATTAGTCAAACATTTTATCTTCTCTTGTATGTCACACTCTATTTGAATTATTCTTCTAAAATGCTTCTGTTGGAGGCTCATAAGGGAGGAAAAACTCCCTCTAACGGAAGAAACCTCCAAGAAACCCCGGCTCTTGGTGGGCGGCCTTCTGCCTCGACCAGTTGGGGTGAGTGAATAGAGGAGAGAGAAAAGATAACGACAACAACAAACAATCAAACGCTGGTCAGGTTGATGTTATTAATTATTAAGAGAGTAGATGTTAATGAAGGATTGTGCTAGGTGTGTGGGTACAGGAAAAGAGAGGGATAGTTCTGGGACGCTGGAACACACTGTTTCTCAGTGTCATGGACCCAACTCAACCAAGCACCAGTTAGTCAGAGGGTGCACACCCGATGACCCTGTAGAACTGCCTTCACTCCTACACCCACACAGAACATTGGTGATAACATAACTATTGACTCGGTGGGGCTGTTAGTGGTCTATTTTTCTTTTGTTAGACAATCTTGGTAAAAGTGTCAGTGGCTGGACAGCTGAATGGACCTGGCTCTCAGAGGTGACTGCCATCACAAACCAGTTGAGCCAGTCACTGAACATCTTGAGAAAATGCAGATGCTGTGTGCCAAGCCAAATATCTGCTCTTTGCTTGTGTGAGGATCAGATTTAGGGATGTTTTGTGTCAAGGGTAGGTTAGGTCTGGAAAATGGTCTTGCTTATTGTGGGGTGCTGAAGATTTATGACAGTATGGCCCAACACCCCCCTCTTTGGGGCCAAATAAGTAAACATCATTCAACTTGTATACCGAACTTCCATATGAATGCTCTGCCTTTCTCTGACACATGCAATTGTGTATTATTGACTGTTACAAGGAATGAAATCCTAAGAACAACAAACAACATATTTGGTGCTGGAAGTTTTCAATAAAAACTAGCAAAAACACAAACCAATGTTTCTCAGCATCTGAGAAGGTGAAAGTAAAACCGCCTTCCTCACCTTCTCTACCAGGTTCTTGTCTGTTTCCTGGATACTGGTGTCAGGTACAGGCTTCTCGGAGTAGCCAATCGGGTAAACAACATCTCCCTGACCGCCCTGTCGGTCGCCACGGCTCCTGCAGGTAAGGCGGTGAGTATAATTTTGATTCCCCATTGTCAGATGTAAACTCTTTGCTGTGCTTTGCCTTTTTCATGTATATACAGAAAAGAGCTGCCCTTGACTAAGAGCTTTCATCACTCTCAGTTACTAATCAATGTTAAAGCATAGAAAGAGGAAAAATTAGTACATTGCAAATTGGTGCAGCAAAACTCCTTGGTTTATTTCCAGGAAAGTGAGAAATAATCTAGTCATTTTAAATCATTCCATGATTTTCTTTGTACTGTAATTCACATATTATCCTATACATACATTAAGAATAAGGCAGCACAAAAGCTTGGCTTCCTGTGCCTTTTTCTTAATATATACTTTTTCTTTTAATAGATAGTTGTCAAGAGAGCAAAGGGGTTGGTTGACATGCAATAAAATGTCCCAAGCCAGAATCAGTTAAAGTGCCCTATGGATTTTCAGGTTTTCTCAGAGAGCCACTGAATTTCTGAGCAGAAAAAAAAACATTCATACTATCCAAATGCACTCTGTGTGTGTGTTTACCTGGTGTTGCCCAGGCTTAGCTCCAGAGCCCACTTCATCCTCCGAGCCCCGCTGCCTCCTCTGGTCGACAGAGCTCCTCCTCCTCCTGCTTGTCCTCCTGGAGATGCCATGGCAACCGTCTGCAGTGCTGGGCCTCAGAGACAAAAAGCACCTACAGAGATAACACAACACATATCACAAGGGCAGGTTCTTTACTTTGAAGGGGTCTCTAGTCTTCCTGGGTGTAAACAGGCAAGAAACTATCAAAATGTAAGATGGTATAAAAATAAGACATTGGAAATTTCTGGCACAACAAACAGCAAAACAAGAAGTCCAGCAACACCTGGAGTGCTTTGAGCACCTTTAACTAGAAAATCAAAACACTGCCAAAAATAAAACACAGGAAAACTACAACACAACATAGGAAGTTATATAGGCAAAAATAGTAGCAATTATGGGTGATCATTATAATGCCAGTTCAAAGTTTTGTCCTTTGTTTTTAATGTGATGTTTAATGTAAGTGGGATTTTATTTCCTGGTCATGACAGAAACGTTACCTAAATCGGCTATTATGGCTTGACATAACAAATATAATTGAATTCAACTTAATTTCATTTGTACAAATATGTAGCAAATGCTTAATTTGCTCTGACTATATTCTAATCGTTTAATAACATCAATACTGATTTCACGTAACCCAAAAAGATTAGTTGTAACGTTGACTAGTATGTTTTCTGCCAGGTTTGAGTTTCCTCTCAACGCTCCATGCTACATTAATTACGTGAATCTCGCCCTGTTAAACATAAAAGTAAAGATTACAGTTACTTATCGCAATTAACAAATCTGTCAGATTTGTTCGGTTTTAATAAACGTACAATTTTAACAGTAAAAATGAAAACCACCTCAACGATGCACAGTAGACTCGTAGTCACTCAACCATGCTGTTAAGCGGCTCACACATAACGTTACATACAAATAATCAAGTACACCGCCATTTAATATCCAGCTTACCTTATAGAAACATCCAAACCAACAATAACAGCTTTCTTTAACGTTATCCTTTATTTGAACAAAGGCGAAAATACTTCTTTCTGTATCGAGAAACAAGTCGACCTCTCTGATTCCCGGCCTCGCAATGATGACGTCACCAAGCAGTTTTTGCGCCTATTGCGCCGTGACTGCCCTCTAGTGGTACTGCAAGAGAAATACTTCAATAGATCCTGAGTTTTCTTTTAGTACAAATGTGATGTAAAAACGAATTGAAGTTTTACTCAAATTTCCCTTCTATGGATTAATTGGGCTAACTTTTAATTTAACGTTCTAATTTCGTCATTTTGATAACAAAGAAAAAACATCAGAATTGAGCATCAAGGCCTGTAATGTGAACATAGCCAAACTATAATTTCTATAGTGGAAATGATGTGTATTTAGCTGTTGAATGATATCTTCATTTAATGTTAATGGATACATGCACAAAAGAAAAATTAAACACAAATATAAACAAAGTATCAAAGCTTTTATTATCTGGGACACTATCTTTATAATTTGCAGCTGTGTCATATTAACCTGTTAGCAACACAAAAGTTTAAATGCATGTGTGTACTTTTTACAGTCAGTTTAAGGCAACACTATTATATACACATACTGACATGTAAATGAAGCAGTACAAATTGAATTGTTAAGTCTCCATGTGTGTCTGTATGTGGGGCTTGTTGTAAGGGGATGTTGGTAATTTGTTTTGTTTATTGTTATGTTATTGCCAGTGTATTTTATTGTGCTGTTTCTATGTGTTTTGATTTTAATACGGTTGTGATGTGTCACTGTGTTAAGCACTTTGGGCAGCTATGGCTGGGATAAATGTGCTATATACATAAAGTTGATGATGATGATGATGATGATGATGATGATGATGATGATGATGATGATGATGAGTTTGACAGTGGTTCTGTACAGTGTGTGAGCATTAAGGTACAGATAAACCCAGGTATAAAGCTCAGACTCACTCGTCACTACTGTAAGTTCACAGATGTACAAAGCTCTGACCAACAAACTACAGGCTGTTTGTTCATTCAGCACTTTAGATCATGTGGGTCATACTACTGTTCTCAGGTAAATTTTGCTGATTGTCAGAATTCTTTGTCTGGAGAGCTCAGATGTAATCCTGTGGCTCCGTTCAGCCCATTTAAGGCTTTAACCAGATTTAATCAAACCTAGATGAAACTACAGTAGCCCTGGGCTCTGGCAAAGTCTCAACAGCATTTATGAGTTTATCAGATTTTTCACTTTGCTCATATTTGTTTGCGAGAAACCTGTAACTTGTAACTTGCTACCTCTCCTTTAGAGTAAATGCATGTTGACCAGGCAGTCTTGCATATATTTTTAGTGGTGCCCGAACAATGCTTGAGGTCAGCATTTGAGTAAAGACATTATGTTTTCAACATAACAGAAATCTGTCAACTATCTGAAACAGAACTACAGTAAGTGTTGTCAAGTTTTTCAAACACAGCTGGGTATGAATTTTTTTGACATGGATATAACAATAACGTGAGAGGCACAAACTCTGCTAGGATCACCAAGATGCATTTTACTGCCAAACTGGGACTAGAAGCTGAAAAATGTGTCCCTTGGCTCTATCATCGATTTCATGTTCCACTCAATTAAGCGAATAAAACTGGTCTAGCTGAAATCATGGCCCTTGTGCACATGCATGTTTTTCATCTGACAGCTGCATGAGACTAAGAACCTGAGGACGTCTGTTAGTTGTACGGCATTTAGGATATGTACTGTATGTGTGCCTGTGCTCAGCCTCCAGGTCACTTGTACAGGCTGAGCTCAGGGCTGTGATACAGACACATGTAGGAGTCACACAGCAGGCGGCGGGCTGGCTCTCGTAGGGACGCAGGGTCTACTCTGCTCAGCTCCTCCTCTGACAGGCTGAGGTATCGGCCCACCTCAGGACACGCCTTCACCTGGGGGATGTTGAAGCCGTTCTCACCACCTGAGAGCACAGCCGAGAAACGTGAGCTTGTTTTCTGTTCCTGCTTTTATATTGTGTTTGATTTACTCTTTTGATTACTTCTCACCTTCTCTGTCTGCCATACTGTCAAAAAACAGCCAGTCAGTGGGGTGGGGCCCGTGCTTGACAAAGCTCACGTAATGGCTGGTCTCAATGCATGTCACAGCAAACAGAGACATTCGCTGGCGAGTGCAGTGTAAAGGGCCTGTCCATGGGGGCACGGGAACACCAATCTTCACTGGGCTGTGGGACACTCGCTTCCTGTGACTGTGGACCTGAAGATCGACAGAAGAGACAGTTCACATAACAGATAATGATGGTCAGAGTGCTTTATGTTACTAATAATTCTTTATTTTTATTATTGCAACAAACAGGCTGGCTGCAGCACAACATGGAAACAAGGCATGTACTCTTTATTTTTAACAAAAAGACGTTTATCAACCTGCGTGTTGCAGGTCTGGCAGTACTGTTTGAGGCGACCAGGAGTGATGTCTAGATCTTCGTAACACTGCACACACTCCCACTCAGCCACAGTTTGACAAATACTGCACTGTCTCGGAGCTGGAAAGACAGACGGAGACAAATACTACACTTCACACTTCAGTCAAAACCAACAAACACTGGGCGCAGTACAGTAAAAGCTGGTGTGAGCCTTTGCTAGAAATATGAAGAAAACTCAAACATACATGTGATTAGAACAAAAATCACAGAAATTAGTGCACAAAACCAAACCAGAATCAGTCCCCCTAAATCGTCCTTACTGTCATCCAGCAGGTCTGTGATGTCCAGGCTGAGAGTGGGTAAAATGGCATCGAACATTTTGAAGTCCTTCCCAAACCTGGGCATGAGCAGCAAGAGGCAGGAGGGAGCCTGGTGGGATGATCAGTTCATATGATTTTATCAGTTAGCAGTGTTTCAGGTGACTCAAAGGGTTTTTTAAAAAGTCAATTCTGTTAGTTTTTCTATTTTAAAAAATTGCCCTGATGTGAAATCTACACTAATGAACTAATTCCTGTTACCTCAACGAACTTGAGACCAGCATGGAAGAAGGAGGACTCCAGCAGGGCCTGGACGCTGGCAACCCTCAACCGGTTAGATGACGGCGAGGAGAGAGGGATTGGGGAGTCAACTGGTGAATGGGATAAAGGTGAGGACGGAGAGGGAGGAAGGGTCGGTGGGAAGAGCTGGTAGAGGTGACACGCCTGAGGCTGCTGAGTCATCGATCTGGAAGTGAGGGGAGAAGAAACATGAGGTATAAATTTAAGGAACAAGAGGTGGAGGACAGCAGTGCAGGACTACTGAAATGGGCGAGGATTTCATCATTTATTTAACAATAACATATTTTGACATAGCAGATGTGTGGACTTGCAGTTAAAAAAAAAAAAGGGGGGGGGCGCGGGTGTTTTGACGCACCTCACAAGCGTCCTTAAGAAAAGAGAGGAAATGAGATTAAGGAGTAGGTTTCTTTTGAATCCAGGTGGAGAGATACAGACGTAGTTGTAAAAACTGCTGCTGCTAGTTCCCTGTGCACACAACATGACTTGTGTACAGAGGTCAAAACTAGAATTCACCTGCTGAAGGGAGCAAATGTATCTGTGCTCAACCCAATTCTGAGTGACACTTTAACAAAGCCACTGAAATGTTTTGTGGGAAAACCATATTAGACACCAATTAGTATTCCAAGAAGTGTTTTAGGATATTTTTAGTGGAAGGGATCTTTAACAAAGTGAACTGTGTGACAGTGAAGCAGGAAGTGTGTATGCATGTGACTAGGTGAAGAGTTCAGTGAATAATATGGCTGGCTGACACTGTGTAAATAAACAAAAGGACATAAACAAAAAAGAGCGGCGGTGATGTTACCTAATCTTTAGGAGCGGCTCGACTCGAAGGAGCTGGAAAAGCTTGTTGAGGAACTCTTCAGGATCTGACGGACAGAACAAGAGCAGTATGACAGCATTCCTCAGACTGATCACACACAAGCACAGGTGCACCTGCAAAAGATGATGCAGGGATAGAGAAAGGACTCCAGGGTGACCATGCGTTCACACACACACACACACACACACACACCTTTCTCCTGGTTGGTGAAGCCGGTGTCACTATTGGCCGCCTCCAGCAGTCGTCTCAAGGACATGGTTTTACTGGCACACACGTAGCCATATCTGAGTAACACACCAGTACACACTCATGTCTGGAAAGTTTTGTATATTATTGAACACAATAATAAGGAATGTCATTAGTTGCACAAAACACAAAGAATAATTAAATGACAGTCTGTTTTTTTGGGTGTCATGTCTTATCAAACTGAACTGGGTCAAGTCTGTTGTGGTTTGGGTGAAATGCTATTTGTCAGTTAGGATGTAAACTCACACAAGATCTTGTGTGAAATTATTCACCTTCTGATCCACTCGCTGCCTTTTGTATGATTATTTTTTACAACTGGAGTCAGGACTGCCCACATCACATCATTACACATTACAGCTGTGACACTGAACCATATAATCTGCAGCAGCAGAGCAATTTTAAACCACAAGTATGAGCTGTAATGCTTTATCACCAGCAGCAACTGCATTTGCACATCTACAGACCTTCGCAGTGGGTTGACTATCTCGCAGCGCAGCAGGTCCTGAGCCTGACTGTAGCTCTGCTTAGTTTCAGAGTCAGGAGGCCAGAACAACACCCAGTCTGCTGAACTGCAGCAGGAGAACAGACTGAATAGAAACACAAAGCAACAAGTCAGACACATCTGACTCCACAGCCTCTTCTTGTTATCTGTTCAGCCATGGAAGCTATTGCTGCTTAACTAGTTATTCTGTTCATTCTAAATTAAGCCACACATCGCCATTCCTTGTGTGCCAGAGGCTTTCTCTCAAGAAACACATACTGAGTGAACAACTGCATGCTTAAAAGCATTCTTATATTCATTCAAGTGTAGCAATTACTGTGTCACATTCATCTGCAAGAGTGAGGAGCATGATAAGCACTTCTTTACAAAAACTATTACATGGCTGCTATGGCAGATACAGAGGACAGGTTGAATGAACCATCAAGCTAAACTACACTAGTAAAGCTCTGATACACAACCTCAGTAATTTATAGCTTTTAAACTCAGCACTGATGGCATGTTACACAACAACCAACTTTTTTTTTTTTTTTTAAACATACACAGCAGCAGACTTTACCTGAACAGCGTAGCGTCCAAATAGCAGGAGTTGAGGTGACCCTGGATGCCTCTCTTCCAGCCCTGGTAGAGCTCTTTAGCCTCGTCCCCGTCCACTGGAGGAGTGTGCTCCTCCACACGCTCACTGCCCCACTCCGCAAAGGCTGGGATGGACACATATCACAGTATCAGATATTAAAAATATATAGTTATATTCATACACACGCCGATATTGTAGCCAAGTATGTGCAGAGAGGTGTTTAGATTAGGTTCCTCTAATAGCAGCTAGACACCGGCCCTAAAGTCTCTCTAAAGTCGACAATATTTTCCAAAGCAAATTTGAGTCTTAGAAGTAAATTCCACCTATTAAATGTGCATATTGCGTGTGTATTTCATCTTTTCTGTCTCAGCTGTGTTGGATGCCTTTTGCTGCCACCAGGCAGTAATTCCATCCTTCACAACATCCTTTCAGAAACCTGTGGGCGACTACACCGAAGCTTCCTACAGTCTGGGATGCCTCTACCACCACCCACCTATAGAGTTGCATCGCTCCACTTGATTGACAGGTGTTTCAGGTGCGGGGAACCTGGAGTCCCTCCTACAGTTGCGTAGTCTGACAAACAGCCCCTTATTGGCCGGACAACTGAAGTGGCGTTCACCAAAGTAACTGCCATCTGTTCCTGTAAGCAGCTGCTGGTCCTGACACACACACACGGTGAGTTGGTTGTTATTAGTGTGATGCAGCACTATGAGAGATGTTCTCTGCTTTAAGGACTGTGGTCAGAAATGGATCTGTTAGCATAATGTATCCAAGGAAACCCTTTAATGTCAGATTTTTCCATGTTGCTATAAGTTTTTCATCTTTAATATAAAAACAGTCATTTCTAACAAAGTCAGTGCTGTCTTGAGCCAGGACAAAAAAAACAGAGATGTAGATAAGAGCATGTGCTCTGAAGGGAAAGATCTCACAAGGAGTAAATGACTGTTAACGTTAGGGTTAAACTAAGCCACTAATTATGAAGTTTACTAGCAAACACCACAGCAGTTTAAGACCTAGAAGAGACTGAGAAGAGCCTTGTTACATCTCCAAATACAAGACTATTTTAAACCAAGTTGAGCTTAATTCACACAGGGCACTGGCATGTCAGTACATGTTAATGATGGAAAAAACATCATTTTGATTTAGTAGTCTGATTGTAACTTAAATTTTAAGTCTGTTTTCTGCTTTGTTTACACATATTAAACACGTTTTTAACAGCATGAGAAAAACAATCATGTGTTTCTGACATAACAGTTTTGGTATTCAACAAACTAAAGATAAAAATGTCTCCTCACCAGTTCGATTCCAGCCATTGGCTCAGAAATCCCGCCGACCTGTCCAATCCAGCGGATCACCCCAAAAAGCGGTGGGTCATTCACTTCTACCATCGAGCCTACCTCCAATTTCCCCTCCAGTCCCGCCTTTCCGTTCTCCCTCACAGCTTCGCTGTTATCTGGCGATGTCAGTGGTGATGGTGGGGTGTGTACGCCATTGGTGTGCTGCAGCTGCTCGGCAGCGGTCGGTGACATTGGGCTGGTGGGTTTGGGAGGTGGTAGAGGAGGAAGAGGCAGGGGTTTCTGAATGATTTTCGGTGGTGGCAGTGGAGGAGGTTTAAGTGGTTGCTTGTTGGGGGGCATCAGGGAGACTTTGGGAGCGGGTGGGTCTGGTTTAACAGCAGGGGGCGGTGCTGGCTTCAGGATGGATTTGGGCATTTGTTGATGAGGACTGCGATTCTGGGATTTTGGTTCTGAGAACAGAAATGAAACAAAAATGTTTTTCCCCACTCAGGTGTTTCCACATAGCACACATCACAAAATCTATATCTAGTGACCGTGAGATTTCAACTTCAACTCCACCACTATTTATTTGTCTTTAGTGTTCATTCTTTTCATTATGAAATGTGTTTTACAACACAGGCATGTTAGAAGAAAACTGTATGTTCCAGCAAAACAGGAATTTTGAGTGCTTTCATTCTTAATTTTGGAAAAAATAAAGTTTTGGTGTGTTTAAAAAACTGAGGCATTTTCCTTGGACAACAACAAAACCAAAGAATAACAAGTAAAATAAATAGATTATATCCCTGAGAACTACTGAAATCCTACTCACTCCCTGATCAGAAGTAGCTGTGAATGAAATGGTCTACCGATGTCTGAGGTCCTGAGGTGTTGTTGTGAAAACGGCTGCTATACCTGAGTAAACCTTGGTGACTGGCAGCAGTAGTCCATAGATGGGGGAAGGAATGTGGCAGAGCTTCTCTCCCCTGTAATACCCGTTCCAGTTACCAACAGCAGAGTCCTGTTACAAAAAACGTTGTACAAAGAGACAATTGGTCCACATAAAGAAGCAAATGAGACTTTTAGAAAACCTTTTTTCATACAAATCCTCACTGTGTAGTGTTTCTGTGAAAATGACCAGAATTCCACTGAAATTCAGCTACTACCTAGCTAAAAGGCATGTAAAAACAAAAACAGCATATCAATTATTGGATTTATTCTCTCACTTTTGTTTCTGTAAAAGTGGCCATCAGTATTTTTGATTATTAATACCAATTCCAAAACCCATCCAATCTGGTTCCAAAACCACAAGAACCTGCACTAACTCAGAAACAGACTCCTCATATAATCACAGTTTTCTTTCCAACGTCATACTGACCAGAAGGACTCCGACATACATCCCTAATGAGGGGTGGCCAGACAGGGGACCACAGAAGCGCACCTCCCCACCACAGATGGTGTTCTCCAGAGGGAAACACACTCGCTGACCAACATGGAATGGCAGAGGCGAAACGGGGCCTCGCACCTGAATATGATTTGGTGCGGCAACAGGTGCAGACTCCGCTGTTCGAGGAAGGATGCTGAAAGCTTGCGGCTGCGGAGGGCTGCCGGGATGAAGCTGGCGAAAGCTAGTGTGGCGGACGTGCTGCTGTTGCTGCTTATTTGAGCTATTGTTGTTGCTATGGTGCCCATCACTGGGGTGATTATTGCTGCTGTGGTGATGATCTCGCTCATGGGCATTGGAACCACTGCTGCGAGACCAGCGGCGGAGCCTGATGTGACTGACTGGGAGAAAGAGGGCACATGCCTCAGGGCAACTGAAGTGCCGCTGGCCCTTAAA